TGAGGTGGTTTATGGCAGGGTAAAAGTTAAATTCTATTATATACATGTCGTGGATATTCTATTTATTAACTTTATTTAGAGACAGTTTTGTTTACACATTTAAAAGTTATTGAAATACATGTAATTTCTTCTCACTGTCAAGTTCTAAATTAGATTTTTAGAAGTGTGAAGGTAGGGAAGTGTTTATGCATAAGTGAATTGCTATAATGAAAGATCGCAACCACATCCCCCTTCTTGTGTGGCAACAGTTTATTACCACAAGAACTGGAGACACTGTTGCCGAACAGAATGGTGTGATGGGCGCCCAGATTCAACAAGATGTTGAAGCAGAAATGAATCCTGTAGCTGAGCAACAGGTAGTCACTGAAGAGAACAAGGAGGTACTAGAAATGTTTATTCTATTTTTATCCTTGGTGATGGGATCCCTGAAAGTGATTTTGTCTGCTACATGCTTACTAGATGCCAAGCACTTGTAGTGAGAGAGTTTTGGCAAATTAAAGTATTTTCCTAAAAAATTGGTTCATGGTTTTCGGAATTGGAATTGTGATTCTTCTTTTGGTAATGATTGGAAACTTGGAGTGGATACAAATTGATTTTTAAGGGATCACTGCATGATGCCAGATCTTGTCTCTGATTTTGGGGTATTAGTTATAAGGAGTGATTATTTCATTATGTGTACTGATTTCAGCAAATTGATTAAGATTTATTTGAATTGGCTGCCTGTGTTACTGTCTGCAGAAGTGATGGTGTGTTTTATAAAACATTATTGTATAGTGTTACAAATGCAAAGACTAACCTGTTTGATCTAAGGTCACAAAATTATATTTATAGGTAAGCAGTTTTTAAAAGTGTGTATTCTGTGATCTCATGTTTTTGACAGAAGGTAACTTTCCTTGTTTGAAGAATCATAGGAACCAGAACAAAAATGATTGAAATGGTACATTCAGATTATTGGGTTTATATTATCATATTTGTAATTATTTGAACATGAAGCAAAAATAAACAAATTGGCAGGTTGAGGTGGTAAGTTAGTGAATCATGTAGCCACTACCAATTAGACATTAAATGGTGCTGATTTCTCCAATTTATCTTTGCTATTTTAGGTAATGCTCATGTTCATAATCCTGAAATTTAGATTGATCTTGAAATCTTTTGAAGACAGGAAATTAGTATCAAAATTTACATGTTTAAGTTTGTGACCAATCCAATTTTACATCTGCCACGTCTGTAGTTATCAATGGCAGTGAAAGGTTTAACCCATTACGGGCTGGTGTCAACACATAGTTGTTAGTGAAGTTTTTGGGTTGAGCTCAGGTACCAGAAGACACTCTTTGTGGCTCTGACTGCATTCTTCAGGGTTTACTAATTAGTGCAGAAAGATTGTGTACTGTGCATCCACATGCAGATTTACAGTCCCCCAACATCTGCTGAAAATTTACATTTTATCTATCTTTCGTAAATCAAGCCGCCCCAAAAGGGGAATAAGCAAGAATCAAAGACTGAAGTCACTTAAAAAGCACTGTGTAACTTTATAAATACCAGCACAAGAGGCTACTTTGGCCAGTTTGGTGGTTTAGGCAGCCTGTCCGCATTGGGTTAACTAGTTTTGTTAAGTAGCTATATGGTAATCAGATATAATCCTGTGGGGTATTGAATTCTCTTGCTGTATTAGTTTAGTTTTTGCTTTTTGTTCGATAGATTGGCATGAATTAGTTGGGCATTGTGGTTAGAAGTCTTTTTTCTTTATGTTCTGAAAATAATGATAATGTACCATAATCAGACAAGAACCACATCACAAGTACCCATGTGTTCAAAGGGAAATTACTTGGATTTTGTGTGTTGTTTAATATTTACACTCACACTCACACTCACTCTCACTCTCACTCTCACTCTCACTCTCACTCTCACTCTTACTCTCACTCTCACTCTCACTCTCACTCTCACTCTCACTCTCACTCTCACTCTCACTCTCTCTCACTCTCACTCTCACTCTCACTCTCACTCTCACTCTCACTCTTACTCTTACTCTTACTCTTACTCTTACTCTTACTCTTACTCTTACTCTTACTCTTACTCTTACTCTTACTCTTACTCTTACTCTCACTCTCACTCTCATTCACTCACACTTACATTCATTTATTTATTTTCCCTCTCCCTTTCTCTCTTCCTTTCCCTCTCCCTTTCTATCTTCCTATCCCTCTCCCTTTCTCTCTTCCTTTCCCTCTCCCTTTCTCTCTTCCTTTCCCTTTCCCTTTCTCTCTTCCTTTCCCTCTCCATTTCTCTCTTCCTTTCCTTCTCCCTTTCCCTCTCCTTTTCCTTCTCCTTTTCCCTCTCCTTTTCCCTCTCCCTCTTCCTCTCCCTCTCCCTCTCCTTCTCCTTCTCCCTCTCCCTCTCCCTCTCCCTCTCCCTCTCCCTCTCCCTCTCCCTCTCCCTCTCCCTCTCCCTCTCCCTCTCCCTCTCCCTCTCCCTCTCCTTCTCCCTCTCTCTGTCTCTCCATCTCCCCTTCTCTCTGTCACTCTCTGTCTCTTTCTGTCTCTCTCTATCTCTGTCTCTCTCTCTCTATCTCTGTCTCTCTCTCTCTCTCTCTCTGTCTCTCTCTCTCTCTATCTCTGTCTCTCTCTCTCTCTATCTCTGTCTCTCTCTCTCTCTTTCTCTGTCTCTCTCTCTCTCTCTCTGTCTCTCTCTCTCTCTCTCTCTGTCTCTCTCTCTCTCTCTCTCTCTCTCTCTCTCTCTCTCTCTGTCTCTCTCTCTCTCTCTCTCTGTCTCCTCTCTCTCTCTCTGTCTCCCTCTCTCTCTCTGTCTCCTCTCTCTCTCTGTCTCTCTCTCTCTCTCTGTCTCTCTCTCTCTCTCTCTCTCTCTCTCTCTCTCTCTCTCTCTCTCTCTCTCTCTCTCTCTCTCTCTCTCTCTCTCTCTCTCTCTCTCTCTCTCTCTCTCCCTCTCTCCCCCTCTCTGTCTCTCCGTCTCTCTCCGTCTCTCTCCGTCTCTCTCCGTCTCTCTCCGTCTCTCTCCGTCTCTCTCCGTCTCTCTCCGTCTCTCTCCGTCTCTCTCCGTCTCTCTCCGTCTCTCTCCGTCTCTCTCTCTCTCTCTCTCTCTCTCTCTCTCTCTCTCTCTCTCTCTCTCTCTCTCTCTCTCTCTCTCTCTCTCTCTCTCTCTCTCTCTCTCTCACTCTCACTCTCACTCAATCTCTCTCTCACCTTCATCCACACACTTTCACACTCACTTATGCTAACTCCCATTCTCACATGTATTCTCACTCTAACTCTGACACTTACACTCTCACTCTCATATTGATATTCATATTTGCATACACATGTACTCGTAATTATACTCAGATGCACTCGTAGTGGTACAATTGCTCTCACTCACCAAAACAAACTGACTTGATTAACTTGTTTAGAAAGCATTCACTAAGGAACTGAATAAGGAAATAACTTTTTAATGACCCTTTTTTATTTTATTTGTAACATAATTTACTGATAGAAGATACCATTTAAAGGAAAGTCTTTTCTATTCCAAATTCTCTTTTAGGAAAGTGTATTTTAGTAGCATATTATCCACACTCGGAAGTTACATCTGTAAATGTTATGTTGTTACTCCTTAGTTATAGTTAAAAAAAACTGCTTTATGTATGTACCCAGGTGAGTTTTATTATGTGCACTTTTGAGAATAAAGGTACATACAAAGCAGGTCTGAAAGTGCCCTACTGTAAGTAAATACATGATTTCATACTATGCCGAATTTTGTATTTGAATTCAGCAGGTATGTGTTTTGCTAGCTTTAAACTATCAGTGGGAAAAGTTCAACAAATGAATGTTATTAATATTATCTTTTCTTCTTTGCCATTCCATGCTTAACTCTTTGAAGCAGAAAAAAACACCTGCAGAGCCAACAACAGTTCAGACACCTGACTCTGCTAATCTCAAAGTCAATCAGGTATTTGGGTTATTAGTGGAAATGAAGTGCATTTTTTTCCTCTCTTATGAATTGATCCAGCTTCATTTGTCATTGTCTTGTAAGCAAAAGGACTTATCTGTACCCTAAGTATGTATGATATATTTATGGCTCCATCCTGTTGTCTTGAAACAGTAGATGTTTGTGGTTTGGCAGGATCTTGAATCATATTCCCCCTGCACTGCACTTTTAATAAATTCCTAGAAGAGGTCTAAAAGATTTCCCCTTTGCACAAGTCTTCCCAGATTTATCACTTATATGCTTTTTTCACCATAAATACGAGATGCATTGTTGGGCTGAGAATACATGTGTGGTACTTAATATTTTGTCTTTGTTTTCAAAGAAGTCTTTTCTTTTATTATGTAGAATTATGACAGATTGAGGGTGAATTGTAACCAGTTCCAGCCATTTATCACAAATAACTTAAAACATGATTTGCTAAATGATACTTCTCAGTAGTCAAGGAAATATTGTGTTCTTATTTCTGAAAGTTACTAGTTTGAATATTTCATAGTTCTGGAAAATATTTAGTTTTCATTAACTGTCAAATCATATTTAACTGTTTTAATCTTAAATGAAATGACTGAGGGCAAGTAAGTAGTTTGACTTTTTATGATTATATTGCAACAGTTTGTCAGTTAAATGGACTTGAAAGTCATTATTTTTTTATATTAGCTTTTCCATAAAGTTTGCAGAAGAATGTTGATTTTATTAAGTATGAGCATGATTTTTTTTTTCCGAAAGAGGATTAATGTTTAAAAGCAAGCATTGTAGACTTTGATGAGAATGGCTGATAATTTCTTTAATCAGCATTTACTGGTTGGATGGCAGGTTTCCTCAAAGTAAGAAATTACAGGATGAAGTCAACTTGTTTAATATTTAGAAAAAAAAGTAATTTGCAGTCATGTTAGATTTCTGCAAAGCAATGCAGTCAATTGTGTTGTTGCTACTTAATCGTTTCTTTACCTTACATCACATCTACATCTTTCGCAAAATAAGGACGACGAACAAGAAAATAAGGTCAGAATATATATTATATGAGCCCTATG